CGAATTAGTAAATAAATCAGGAGGCCCAAAAGAAAGCGTCTACTTACGTCAACGCATAGGAATTCAGATTATAAAATCTAATTTCACATGCCATAGGTTCATTCCCCGAGGAGCCGATTAATCTAGATTTTCTTCATCTTCTCTAAATTATTTAAAATTCCCCCCCCCCTTTCTTCTTCATATAATCATTTGCATTTATTATATTTCCATTATATCTATATTATACTTTGTATTATGAAGTTCTTGTTTGTTAAATTTCTTGAATTTTCTAGAATTATGTTTTGGACATGATTTTATTTTTATACTATCATTTTGTCATATTTAATTTGTCTTTATTAATAAATGTTAAATTTAAAAATTAAAAAAAAAATTTCTTAAATAATTAATTTATATAAGGAACCAAAATTCAAATAAAAGTTAAAAATATTAATATAATTATTATTGAATTATGAATAATTTAAAAGAATAGCTCAAAGATATGACCCAGCCGAAGGTGAGGAAAAAGCTGGCCAAAGGGGGTTTGAGGGCAAAGGCCCCAATTTCCCCCCCCCTATAGGAAAATCCTGGATACGCCACTGTCTTATGTAAATATTTTGAAGAACTCATTTATTTAAACTTAACCTTTAAACTTTGTAATTTGTTTTTATGTTTCACTAGTCCAAATATCTATCTTCTTTTAAAATGAAAATGATAAAATTTATCATTTAAATTCATTTTTTTATAAACCCACATATAATGGAATAAATATGTTTATAAAAAAGTATGTTGAACCCGAATTTTTAAAAAAAATTTACTATAAATTATAAGAAAAAAAGAGAACTTTTCACTTAATTTTTAATATTAAAAATTTTATAAAAGTATATATCCATTTTTTTACAAAAATGCCCTTCACATTAATTTAAAATTGTGTATTAGAAATAGTTATTAGTCCTAATAAATTTATGTTTGACATTTTTAAAAAACAATAATATTTCTTAAAAAATTTTGTTATCCCCCCCCCCCCAGGAACAAATTCCTGCGTACGCGCCTGATTAATTATAAAAGTTATTTTATTTTTTTTCAATATAATAAAATATATTTGTTAAAATCAGAATTTTTAAAAAAAGAAAAGATTAAATACAAATTTATATATAATTTAATCAAATAATTCTTTATTTAATAATTTACTTTTCTTTGGAAATTAATTCCAGTAAATCCAGGCAATTCATATAGGCGTATACTTGGGAGAGGTTAAAATCTTCCACTGGTTAAAAATCTTTGTCTCATAATAGGACGGCTCATAATAGTGGTGTACTCAGATTATCATATAATATAATAATAACTCCTAAGAAAAATTATTTTGTGTATTTTTTAAAAAAAATATCTAAAGATGATTTTACTAAAAATCAAATTCAATATTAAGATAACATACCCATTTTGTTGAAATCGATCTCTGAAGAGACAACAATATTAGATTTTAAGATAGTGAAAAAGATGATATAAATTATGTTTAATAAGGTTTTTTATTAAAGAAAATCAAACTCAAAGAAGGCTAATTAATACATTTCTTATACCATAATTTAAATTGGCATACCCAGGAATGTTTGTCTAAGAGTGCAATAAAAATTATTTTATTATAGTCCTCTACTTATTTGGTTGGAAAATTTCGTATAGGCCAATTTATGAGAATGAACATCATAAACATAGCTCATCAACATCGAGCACTATTATTTAGCATATAAAATCCTACAAATATTTTTAAACATTTTCTGTTATCATTATCGACTCATAAACAAAAGTCAATATTGATATGTTGATTATTAATATTTTATATATAGTATCTGTATATATATATATATATACAATATGTTGTATAGATATGAATTAGTATTAAGACATTTAAAAAAGCATATATTATTCGCAAAAAGAGGGTCCGATCGCAAATAAGGATGTGGTGACATCTTCAGTTTGATGCCCCCTAAACACGTCACATGAGGTCCTTGGCCTGCCTTATGAGTGAAGAAAATATGACTCAGGCCTGGCAAAAAAAATTTTTTTTAAAAATACGGCCAGGCCTAAAATTTTTTTTAAAAAAATATCCGGGCCGGATGTACATTTTAAATTTTCATTATTAACTATAAAAATTAAAAATAAATACAATGCATCTTTAAAAAGTATTTAAAAAAAGCCAGGAAGGGCTTTGTAAGTGGCACCACCGTAGATCTCTGATATATATATATATATAAAGAAATTGAAGTCTTATTTTTTTAAACTATTTTCTTACCCATACAATCCATAATAATGCAACTTTTCTTTATTATAATAGTTGGTCATAGTCAAAATACTAAGAATTTTACAAGTGTCATAACATATGGGTTATGCGCGGACTCAAAGCTCGACAACTGTAGCAATCTCTGCGAAACAATAACCTATTGCAACGTCCCAGAGATAATTTGCACACCTGAATATTGTAATGGAACTTGCTCAGCTATATTTGTTGATGCAGAAACAAATGTACTAGCTCATTGTCAATAACACTTTAAATTTAATTTTTACTAACTAATAAACCCAATACAATACTATTTTATAGCGTATAATTTAATATATATTACATAATGTAAATTTTTATTTTTTCTATAGAAAAAATTAATTGATTTATGATACAAAGAAAATATTTTTTTTTAAAGGTGATTCTTAACCAATATTATTTTATCTTTACAAATATATTATTATTTCTTTAGGGGCGCTATATATAATGACAAAAAAAATTGAATTACTTTATAAATATTTAAATATTTTCAACAAAATGTTAAATTCGGGATTTCTTTCAATATTTATTTGTATTTTGGAAATACAATAGGTTGTAATTTTTTTCGGAGGTAAATTATAAAATTTACTTTAATTTTGCCAAAGATATATAAAGCTAAAATCATTTCCTTTATTTTCATAGATAATAACAAATATTATTCAAGATTAGTTTGGAGGGGTATAGGCAGGATATGGAAACTGAATATAATAATAATTGAGAATAGCTGAGGAAGAACAAAATATTAATTTGGTTTTATTTTAATTTTTAAATTTTAGATAATTATGGGCAATGCTATAGGAAATTCATACAAATCAACTGGTTACTAGGACTTTTTAAACCGAATATAAGAACAAAATTTTTGAATCTTTACCCATAAATTCGATTCTAAATTTTAAAATCCAGAAAAAAGAACTTAAAATATACCAAAGACCTGAAGAGATTCTATTTGCACGGGACCGGCCCCCTTTTTTTTAAATTTTCTCCTGGCCAGGATTTTTTTTACAATTATTTTTAATTTTTGTAGCTAATAATGGCGAATTAAAATATATGGCATGGCCCGAGTATTAAAAAAAAATGTAGGCCCAGCCCTGGTATATTTTAAAAAATTAAAATACGGCCCGGCCGGACCGTATAGGTCTCTGAAATATCCATTTAGCGAAAAGAATAAAATTGCATCCCCCATCCCTTCTCCCCCAAAATATCTACAAATGATAAATGAAAGATATCAATTATTCAAAAAATTAAAATAAATTTTATGACGACATATTATTCAAGCAAAATAATCTAAAGAATCTAACAAATCATAATATGAACTTTTATTTTAAATAACGAACGAAATATTTGTTCACTCGCAAAGAAGCCCCCAACCTTTGTCATTATATCTAGTGATACAACGCTCTATTTGAGCCAATCTTCAAACACGGCGATATCAGTATTTTATTCAGAAAAATATTATGCCAGACCTGGAGTTTTCACGTAGATGGCACAAAGGTTTGGATTAAACGGCTCGTTTTGAGCCGATTTTTAAAAACGGCTAGCTCAATATTTTAGACAGAAAAATATTGCCTAAGCCTAGAGATTTCGCAAATAAATGTCCAAGCCATTGTTCCTTCTACAAACAAAATCTTCAGGCTTGCGTAATATTATTCTAGATGAAATATTGAGTTAGCCGTTTTTAAAAATCGGCTCAAAACGAGCCGTTTAACAACACTAGTTTGGACATCTATTAACGAAATCTCGGCTTAGGCAATATTTTTCTCTAAAATATTCAGTTAACCGTTTATAAAATAGGATCAAATTGGAGCGATTTATCGTTTAATTATAGTCATTTTCATGCACAACTAGCATTTAATATATTATAATCTTTCGGCCTAAAATTGTGCATCATATATCGTTCAAATATTTTTATTATAATAAACCGAGAAAACAAAATCACATTCAAGTAATTATTATATATCTAAATAATATTGCCCCGTTAATAGATTTCAATCGTATCATCGTAAATTCATTTGCATTTTTATATATAAAAAAATATATCTGCTATATAATACTAAAGGAAGATAAAAATTATAATCAGTAATAAAAAAACAATACCTTAAAAATTAATTTTTAGAATAAGTGTTGTTTTCATTATAATCAACGATTTAGTTAACCTTGTAATCCTCAGATTCATGAATGAATTTTAAATGAGAATTTTGATAATATTATATTAAAAATTATATTATTTTTTTTAAAAAAAATATGAATCGTCAAAAAAAAATCTGCCCGTATATATTTATTTTCAAAAAAATTGCAAAATCATTTAGGAAAGAAGACCTATTAATTTATATCATATAAATCTAGCGTTAAGAAAACGCGAAAGAAATTTTTTATATATAACATTTACTTAATGAATATGAGATAGTTTTATACTTATCATATTTTTATAAAAATTTGTTAGAGATAAAAAATAAATAAAAATAGGATAGGTTTTAAAAGGAAGTATGCATACGAAAAAAAGACATTCAACTGGTGTTGTAACAATGTTATAGTTGAATTAAATAAATAAACTATAAATGACATACTCGCCTTTTATATAAAAGAAAAATAGGTTTATCATGTGTTATCTTCAATTAATTTGCCTTTGTAACTAAATTCGAAAAAGGATTTAAACACTAATTTTGTAAAGAAATCAATGAATAATTTGAAGAAGTTACTTGAACCAAAATTAATTAAGAAATATAAAAATTATGAGCTTTTCTATCTAGTAAATACACTTTTTAAAAAATAATAATATATAATCATTGTTATTGAAAAAAAATTTATATAAAAAATAGGGGGAAAAAAAATTAATAGATTCAAAGAGAGAGATTTTTTAAAAAAAAATCTATTTGAGGTTTAGAAGTGTACCCAGGAAAATTACGTGTTTCTAGCCTAATTAAGTAGGATTCATAAACACCCTCTACCTCCTACCTTCCCCCATCTTTTTTTGGTAGTTTTTTTTAAAATAAGTCATTGTTATCGTTTTTTCTTGTGTTATTTTTTGGCGGGTGATTCGTAAAGATATATTGCCGCGAATAAAAGCGCGAGTGAGGCGGAATAATAAGCGTCGAGCGTAAACCTATCAGGAAAAAGTGCCCAAGAAAAGAGAGCGGTACCCATATTACCCAAGGAAGAGCAATATATTTTGACGATATTGTCTAGATTTTTCACTATAGCGGCCACAGCCAGACCCCCTAATGCTCCCAATAATAGCGTGGCAATAAGAAGCGTGAATATACCTGGAATAGGTATAAGATGGTCCGGGGATATTTGAAGCGTAAGAATGCGAGAAAACGAGGTGTCTATCATTATTTGTGCGTGTGAGAAAAAAAAATAATGTGAAAGGTGAACAAAAAAATTATTGATGCCTATATATGGAATCATAGATATTATTCTACCAAGACTGATCATCCATTCATTTATATGCCTATCAATAGAAAAGCTGATTACAACATTTTCGGTTTTTTCCCATGTAAATAATTCTTACATGGGACACAAAATGGCGTGTCACCAGCTGATTTGCATTCTATAACGTTTCAACTTTGTATGCAAAAAAAATAAAATAAAAGATATCTGCAAATCAAGACCCGGCTCATATTTCTATTTCTTAAAAATAATTTCGGTTCGGGTCAGGATTAATATTTTTTTTAAAATTTCGGGCCGGGGTCAAATTTTTAAATATGATATCATTACATTTTGTCAAATAGATTTATTTTAAAATTTTTGCAAGAAACAAGGCGCTAATATGTTTTATTTGTTGAATATTTTTTTTATAATAAAAAAAATAATTTTTTTCTATATTTAAATAGATTCGAAGAGTTGGAGGAATAAATAAATATATTTTTTTTATTTCTGGTTCGGGTTGGGCTCTTTGGGACTAATAAAAAAAAATTTGTTCGTGATCGGGCAGGACAAATATTTTTTTATGATTTCGGGCCAGGTCGGGTCGGGCTTGAAATATTAGGCCCGATGCAGATCACTAATGATTAGCTCATGAAGTCGTAGCTTTTGCGTAAAATAATATCTAATAAAAAGAACACGACAAAAAATAATAATATCATGGAAATAAAGATAGTTATACGTTTGGACGTATAAAAAAAATGAAATTTTACTCGGTTCGAAGAAGCAAAAGATTGAGCTAAGGGCGAAGCTGAAAATATACATTTGGACTTGTTGTTCCATGAAAGGCCGTTTGTCGTTTTTGAAAAAATACTAGGGGGCATAAATAATGAAAATTATGTGTTGTAAAATTCATATCGTTTTAAAATAATTAATTTTAAAAAAACAAAAAAAAAAGTTCGAATTAACTTGAGTCTTCGAACACAAACAAAACTTAAATTATATATATACTTTTTCTTAAATGAGTTAATATACCTCTGTTATGATGGAGGCGGTGACAGAAAGCGACGCGGACAACAAACTCAATAGAATAGCCACTAGTGACAGCCCTCCTAATTTTGATTCGACTTTCTTCGCTGTAACGTTACCCGGGACGGAACTGGGTGGAGAAGGTGGCATGGGTGAAACGTATTTCTTTTCTTGAAGGGAATCGGCTTCCCTCTTAGACCTAGGTTTGATGTCCTTTGAATTATGTTAAATTGAAATGAATGAAGGCGACTATTATTAGCCTTTAGAATAATGGATTGCTTTAACCTCAATAAGTAATTAATCGACGTTTTAAAAGTCAGGGTGTGTCCAAAGTCAAGAAATTTTATAAAAATAAAGAAAAATTATTCTCACATTTATACGCGTCTCGATTTTAGCAAAATTCAAAAACAAATTTATTTTATAAAAAACAATAAAATTTTAACTTTAGATCGCACCCTCAAAACGCGCTATATAAAATTTTCAAATTATCCTATTCGTTGAAAGAATGACAAAGATATATTAGGTATCAATTTTTCTCTGTTTATTTTTTTCTATAAAATAACGTTTGATATAAAATCTTAAAATACAACATAAAATAAAAATAAAGTATAAATGATTTCATTTATAAAAATACAATTTTCTACATCCATGCAAGATATGTGATCTGTAATCAGAGTTGGAGAATAGCGAAATACACTTTGTAAAAGCTATTGCGTATTTACCGCGTGCATTTTGAGTAGTGTTGTTAAACGGTTCAACCTAATCCAATATTTTAGCCAAAAAATATTACGCAAGCCTGGGAGATTTTGGCTTACAGATTATAAGAAAAAGTTTGGACATCTATTAACAAATCCTTGAGGCTTCGCGTAATATTATTTTGGCTAAAATTATAAATCAATTTAAGAAAAATAGAGTGAGTAGGAAAAAGTAAATAGTTTCATGGTCAAGGGAAATAAACCGATAATTTAGTTTAAATAAAAAATATTTTAGAAATATATATCCTCTAGTAATCGCGACTATTGGTGGAAAAATATATTCCTAAATTTATTTTATTCACTAATATAAAAAAAAGCCCTCATATTTAATTTTCGAATTTAAAATTAGAATTAAAATATTAAATACAGCAGTCTCACTTTATTTTTTATAAAATATAACATATGAAGGAAGTCTTCTATTCTAGAAGAATTACATAAAAATGAAGAGGATAACATTATTACACTACATACACAAAATGTGGTAAAATTGTAGAGTAATTTTAACATTTTTATTAAGCTAGATTTATTATAAAATTCAATAACATATTTGTTGCAATATAAGATGTATATGTATGGTATATCTTTTTTAACTGTTTAATTTGAGATCATTCATGAATATACTAAATTCGATAAATCCATGTAAATAGAAATGCCGGGCCTGGAGGTCATTGGAAAGATATGAGTGCATTGATCACTAAGAGAGATTTGGGGTATGAAAGGTAGAAGGCTAGAGGTGGCGAAGCGTCTAGGTACAGACCCATAATATGGGGCTGATATATTTGATTGATCAGTTATCGCAAACACATAGTGGTTCAAGATGACCAAGCATTTTATAATAAATATCAAGTAGAGAGCAATGATAAAAATACGAAAACCTGCTGACATTTTCATCTGTACATTTTTTTTAATCTAAAATTACAAATGAGAAAAAATGAAAGCGCACAAGATATATGCCAAACGTTTGCGTAACTAGTGGCGGGAGAGGGAGGGATTTCTCCTAACAAATTTGTCGGTTTTCATATCAATTTAAGTCATTAACCTGTTCTCCAACACTTCCCGCCCCCTTCTCCCTAGAATATAGTATATCATAATAAATCATATTTTTTATTCAAGAAATAAAAGCATTTTTTTTTCTTGAAAAAAATATGAAAAAGCAAAAAATATATTCCGACAAACTCTTAAATAAAAATTATGGTAAACACCCAAAAGCCATCCCACATGTTTTACGAAAATCCTAAAGACACCAGTAACGCCAAACGTGTCAAATCACGCTTGATATTAATTGCTTCCAAGGGTTCACGAAAAAGGAACATTTATCTTTTTTTATTAAAAATTCTAGCAATAATCAAGATTTTCTATCGTTTTACATATGTTATAGAATATAAATTATTTATCTTCATGATTAACCGTGCAAATATGCACTAGCTTAGATTTTAATCTAGATTATTTGGAAGATTTTTTAACTTTAAATTATCATATTTGAACTTCTTAATCAATAAAATTTGAAATAAGCATTTTCTTCATCCAACGGAAATTGATATTAATATGTTTTTAAAAATGAGGATTAATAAAAAATTCACAACTTTGTAATCAATATCTAGATGTAACGTGTAATCTTATCTAACATTTTCAAAATAAATCTATAGAGGTTTATCTCCTTCCACATCCTGTTTTTTGTAAAATTGATTTAAAAAGTATAAATCGGTGAATCAAATATCAGCTACTTAGGTTTCACAGATAAAAAATTTTACCAATGAAACACAATTTTTTTTTAAATATCATATATCGCCAAAAATAAACCCAACTTCAGGGAAATTTTTTAACAGATGAAATATATATGTAAGTTAAATAATAAAGTAGGACTAAAGATTAGAAAGATATGGGTTAGGGGTTAATTAAAGGTTTAACGTATGGATCATTAAGGGTAAGGTATATTAAAGGGGTTTTAAATAAAATTTAATCCATTTTATTAATTTGTCAAATCTGACAGGTCATGTGATCATAATTTCCGCGAGTTGGGCCATAATAGTTTTCTCTTTATTATTTTTTATATTGTATTCCCATTTTCCACGCACATCCGGCGCCACATAAGAAATAATTATTTAATCAGGAAATTCTTATTTTAAAAAAAAAGAAAATGAGTAAATAAATCTCGAAAATATAAATATTAAACTTTTTTTATATATATTTTAAATAGAGCGTTATTCCAAATATTGATTTTAAATAATATTTTTTTAAACAAAATATCGTGTTTAAAATAGGAAATTATTATTTTTTTAAAAAAAATCTTTAAAAAAACAATATTAAAGAGTAAATATTGTTTTTGGATGTATCGCGACTACAATTAAAGCCTTATGTCCGCCAAATCCTGAAAAATAAAGTGAGGTCTGACCTTGCATTAATAGTTAGCGCGAAATCGGGGCGAAATAATACAAATTAGTGTTGTAAAACGGCTCGTTTTGAGCCGATTTTTAAAAACGGCTAACTCAATATTTTAACCATAAAAATATTGCCTAAGCCACTATATTTCGTTAATAGATATCTAGACCTTTGTGCCATCCATGAGGAAAATCTTCAGGCTTGGGTAATATTTTTTGGCTAAAATATTGGGTTAGCCATTTTTTAAAAAATCGAGCCATTTAACAATATTACTTGCAACCATAACTAAGGTCATAAGTCAGTTTAAATCAGGGTTGATAAATAAATAGAGATCTGGCTCTGACTAAAAAATCTGGTTGAAGCGAGAGGTTAATACAACCAATTTTTTTTAAATTAAAATGTTAATTGAAATATTATCTGGGATAAGAATAAAGCAATTCTTAGTTTTAATATTTAACTTTTTATAAATATATATTTTTAAAAAAACCTCAATAAATTTTCGTAACTCTATAAAATTATGAGTTTATATGTCTTCCATTAAAAATAAGGTTTTATAAATTTCTGAAATTTATAATTCCTACCTACCAAATTATTTTTATACTTCACAATATTTTAAATCAATTTTGATTAATATAATTTGAAAAATATAAATTAATTAAGGCTTACTATTTTTCGTAAAAAATTTCCCAAATTTACAAACTTTAAGATAAAATTTATTAAATTTTTATAATTTTCTAGCTTAAAAAAATTAAGGTAAATTCGAAAAAGTGATTTGGGCCACTATTTTATTTTTACATTAAAAATAATTATAATATTTAGGTCATACACAACCCAAAGAAAAACATATTTAATTAATATATATTTTTTTTAAATCTCTGACCAGGTTCAAAAACACAATGAACATCGAAGCTGGTTCGGGTCTAAAAATAAAATAAAAATTGGGCTAGGCTTGTTGCCTCTAACAAGAATTAAGAGCTTTTCAAGAGAACAACAATACATACAATACAGATTTTCTTTATGGTGCTTCACTTTTATATTTCAATATCAAGAATCTTATCGATTTATAAACCTGTTCACTATCCGGAATATGTAGTACTTCACTACCGACTTGTGTGCCACCATTATCTTCATCGTTCCCTAAGCCACCTTTGTTGAGGTTAGATGAGGTGTGGCCTAATAATAATGTAAAATATATCAGTTGGGTTAAACAACTTAAACAAAGAACATACCAGACTTTTCCAGCGTATAATGTCAAAAGATAGTCAGCCCAAAAATAGATCGTTAATAAAATATTTTTAACGTTTGAATATTAAAAAATTTATCGTCAGCTCACTGCATTTTTAAGATAATAGATGAATATTATATACTATAATTTATTTAATGTTTGATTTCTAAAAAGATCTGGTATATTTTTCGCCGTAAGGGACCAACACCTCTGTTTTTTTAATTATTAAAACAAGTGGCTGGTGTTAAACATATTCTAACCATGGCCATCACTTAATACGCCAATATAATCTTTTAATTTCGGTCCCATAATCAGCTGAAACCACCAGAAAAACGTAAAGAAAATAAGAAAATTTTTGTTTGAGTGCATATATTTTCAAAATTATTTATTAGGCGTTATAAAAAACTTTTAATATCGACGATGGCTGATGATTGAGGAGTCGTATTCATGAGAGTCAAACAATACAAACTCGATACTAGGAGCCCCAGCGAAAACCATTGCAACCTCGTGAGCCGTTTTCCAAACCAAAATCTGTAAACGAGAGCGGTTAAGAATACCCTGGATTGGATTAGCATTAGCCAAATTGGTGGGGTCGTGTAGTTGAGGGCTATTAGATAGAGGTTATTGTTGAGCGAATAGATGAGAGCGGGTATGGCGAATAGAGGGCTCAGCTTGAACCTAAATGATAATTGGTTATACCATTGTTTAAGTTGACCATTTTATACCTAATAAAAGGTCTTCGTTTACGCGTTAATTAATATAAAGCAGGGACTTCCAGGGTGCCCAGCGCGGAATGAGTAAATGGCACGTCAAAAATCCAGTTCTAGCTTAAAATAAAGACCTAAGTTTGGCATACTAAAAATAAAAACCTAAGCTTGGCCGATTTATGAAAATAAATATTAAATATATCAGTTAAAGTGTTTGTAATAGATTACCTAATTGATGATTTGGCGTTCATTCGATATTTATTTTTCCAAACCATGTACAAAATAAAAATTATTCGAAATAGCAAAATTTCAAAAAACCTGAGCTACTTTCATCCTTTGCTAAATAAAACAATCCAGCTTTAATTCCTGCACACTTCTTAACCTTTTAAACCTGAAATATCGTTCAAATTTAACAACCGATAAAATGGAATACGGGTGACTTCTGTATCCAAACACTGACATTTTTATATTATTTCAAGCAAGATCAGAGCCATTTACTAAAATTATGTTTTCAGATAATATAGTAAAATAGATCCAGTTGAATGGTTGATGGCCCAAGGAAATTTGATGAAGGAAGTAAATATTCTAAAAATAATAAAACAACTATCTACTTCATCTTCATCATCAGCTTCAGTCGAGATAGTGTTCTCATCGTTTGGATTTGTTAACTCGAAGCTCAGGAATCGGTTAGGAACAGAAAAGGCAGGAAAATTAGTTTTTTTATTTAAGCAATTAAATTCTAATAACAATGTCAACGATATAGATATTACTTGTGATATGTTTTTTTATTGATTTTACAAACTAATTGATTATTTTTTTTATTACAAAAAATAAAAAATAAAATTTAATGTGTAGATTATTGATATTAATTTCATTTTATATTTAGAATATTAAATAATTTTTCACTAATGCAATTAGGATTAGCAGTTATTTTTTGTCAAAAATTAAAATAGAAAATAAACTTTTTCTTTTTAGCAAGTGGTGATTACTAATGCAATTTGGTTATTTAATTAAGATTTTACATATCTGGGTCCTTGTCATTCATAATTTTAAATATTGATTTAAATCATTAATTTTTTTTTTTAAAAATCGTGGTGATTTAAATCGTGATTTAAAACCCCTCTTCAATTTTTATAATATTTTGTGTCAAAAAGTCCCTGATGCCAGGTGCTGGCAGGAAACAACAAAAACGAGCACATAAGATAAAGATTATTATGCAACAGGACGATTAATGAATGGAAAGTTTGAATATAGATGGCATATAAGTTTGATAATAAGAAATATTTGAATATGAAGTTGAGTATATAGAAATATCAAACTAATGACATTCACAGCCAGGATATTTGGAATTCATTAGGTACAATCTGGATTTTTATTTTTGATCATATTTTGGCCTGGGCCCAAATTTTACAATTTTGACTATATTTAAATCATTTTAAATTGAAATGGAAAATGAATATTAAATGCTACATGTCCAATAGTTAACTTTCTAGTGATTGAATGGTATAATTTAATTTTTTTTTTAAATTAGGCTCCCCTAAATTTTAAAACATTTTAAATTTGTCCCAACATGGATTTTTAAAATACCATTTTTGACCCATAATGAGCTAGGTTTACAGATAAGGCTGGACCCTGGCCCCTGATTAAAAAAATATTTTAATTGATGTATTTAATTTTAAAAAATAGATTAACCATTATTTTTTAATTTAATATTAACTTTTGCTACTTATATTTCTATGGCATATTAAAATTTATACGATATTCAAAATTTTACAATTTATGCATTTGATAAAATAAAATTTTAATTTAGTTAAAAATAAATTCCAAATTTGCCAACATTTTATGGGATAAATGTATAATTTGAAATTATTAATCCTATTTACACAAAGTAAAAATTGTTGTTAATTATTGTAATTAGATTAAATTAATCTTACTATATAAATAATTAAGGACTATTTATTGGTTACAAATAATTTGATATTCATGTTTAAATGAAAAGTTTTAAAATGTAAATTACATTATGGTTATTTTTAAAAAAAGCTCCTCAAATCTATAAGCCAAAATATATAAGTTAACCATTATCGCAACATAAAAATACATTACTTTGATTTATTATGATTGTGATGATAAGAATAGAATAGGGCAATAGCACAGCATAGTAGCTTTATGGCTTCAATCCATGCCACGATTTGAGTTTGTGGTAATGGATATAGACCATTGTTGTAGTATCTAAAAAGATAAAAATTATTTTTTTTACCCAAAATTTCAAAATTAATCATAAATACATTCTTTTAAAATAAAACACAAATACCTCACTTTGTAAGCACAATATTGAAATGAAAATTTAATCTGATATATATACATAAATTGGACCTGATAATGTTTTTAAATATTTGGTTAAAATATATTTGATTAATAAAAAAATAAACAATTTCATTGACAAAATTTTATTAAGTATATTTAATCATAATATATTTGTGAAACATAATTTGATAAAATGAAATATGACTTTATGATTTAATTCATTTTTAAAGTTTATTTTACTATTTACTTGATAGAATAAGTGACAACTTGTTTTGCAACATCTAATATTATAAATGTAATGCAGTATTGAGCTGCATGCAATGCTGATAATTTTTTCCTAGCTAGTTTATCAGGATTTTTGTTTTCAGGGATGCTAGTCTCGATCAAAGGTTTTAAATCTGCATTTTCGTCATTCATCTATATACAAAATAATTTTTTTATATTATACAATAATCAGACTTTGTAATTGATAAATCTAAATCTCATATTTCATTATTGAGATCTTAGAAATTTATGAATTATAAAAACATATGTTTATTTACTTTGCCATTACCTTTTTAAGCACGTTTATGATTTTCTAAATTTCATACATTCATTTGAGTAAGCTGAATCAATATTATCTATTATCTATTAACTTTTTAATATTAATTTCAAATTTATAATAGTAAAGGTATTGTAACAAATAAATCAATATATTTTAAAGTTTTTAATTTAAGAGATTTGTTTACGGCTATGAGATGCAAACATTATATATGAGCTAGTAGGGTTATAGTTAGTAATATATGAGGTGGTCAAGGGTCGTAGACGTAATCAAGGTGGTAGGTTCTTTCATCATTTTTTTGTAAAGTTCAATTTAACCGAATTAAAATACACCCAATATACGTGATACGTGATAAAAGCGTTTTCGCCCTCTGGTTGTGGATACAACAGAGCTACGCTAGGTTTTCCTCAAAAATCCATCAAACTGGATAGTTAATTAAGGAGAGAAAATGAGGAGTCCTTCACAGCCGCACGTACTTGTACGCGCAACAATCCGAGAACTGTTGCTTAAACGTCTATAGGCTAATAAACAAAAGAAATGGTCAAAACAAAAGCCTATACCTAAGAACTGCAAAAATAATTTAATTACTTTAAGAGTGGGTGGTGGCTAATTTTAAGTTTAATATCTAATGTAAGCCTTGTATCAATAATTGAGAATGTGTTCATATTAATTGGAATTCGAATTTAACCCATCTTGGAAGAGAAAGAGTAGAAACAAAGTGAGGTAATTCAAAAGCAATGCCAAGACAAGGGGGAAGAAAGTGATTGTGGGTTTATCAGTTTTAAAGCAAGGATATTGTCTTAATTACCTAAAGGAAAGGAATAGTGTAAAGGATTTCTTGGGAATTCCGATAAAAGGAAAACATATGTTAGGAAAGGAATAGTGTAAAGGAAATTTCTTGGGAATTCCGATAAAAGGAAAACATATGTTACCTAAGGGAGAGCCAATCGAAAAAATAAAAAATGAATAAATAAAATTATGAAAGAGTTTTCTAGGACTAATATAAAAGAAACCAATATATTGGAAGAAAAGATGAGGTCACCTAAGAAACTTAAAAAGAGAAAAACAAAAAAAAACGAAAAAAGATAAAGATTATTTAATACAGAAAAACAAAATAAAATTTAAAACTGTATAGAGAAAATTTACCTCCATATCTCTGTGCATATTTGGAAACCGAGTTGACATAGACATTATAATAGAAAAAGATTTAAAATTTGAAGGGAAATAAAATACAGCTTAGCGTATAAAAAAATAAAAGTAAAACTTTACAAAATTTTTGTTTAATAGAGACTATGGAAAAGGAAATGATTAATAAAAATAAATAAGTAAAACAATAATAAGGGGGAAAAATTCAGGGTGGGATAACCTAATCACTTTACAATAACCAAAATTATAAATTATACTAAGCTCTAAATAAATAAATACAACTATTAACAACAAGTTGTATAAGACATTCCCAAAAAGCAAGAAAGAGAAAATTTAAATGTTAAGAAAAGAGAGATCGATGGCGTCCAATATTAGAAAATCTTTTATTTTAAGAGAAACAAAAGAATTAATATAACAGGGGCGCCTAGAGAGTTAAAAATATGAAATATTAAAAATAAAATTTTATTTATTAGTTATATTTTTAGCCAAGACAAAAATATATAAGAAAAAATTATCCCCATTCACTCTCCATAATAAATGTGAGCAATACGTCACTATAAAAAATTATTTTAAAGAAAAATAAGTATATTTATCATTTTCCTAAAATGATGACAATTATTTATGATTTTTAGAAAGCATTAATAAAAAAATTTAAAACAAAACTATTTTTTAAAAAAATATAAAACCGTGCTGAAAACAATGACATTATGTTATTGTTATTGGCTATAAACCTATAATTGGACCTAGTGCACCCCAATAATATGGAAACCCACAAAAATATGGTTGTGCCTAGAATTTCTGTTAATATTATTATATTAGCAAAACAAATAATTTGAATCAAAACTTATGAACTTAATTATATATGTTTTTTATACAACTAATGACAATCCAATTATTATCTCCCAAAAATTTGTAAAGAGACTCAATCCGCAAATCCAAATAGTTGATATGGATTACATCGCTAATTTTCCAGAATATCCAGTATATGAAGATATGCGAATGATTTTTTATTTATACTCTTATTGTTTTTGGTGAAAAATTCCAAAAATTTATCTAGCTTTCCGCAGAAAGAAAAGTATCGTAATGAAGCTTTCTATCTAAAGCAATTTACTACTATCCAGAGTTGTTGAAGGATTGAGATCCTAATTTTGGCAATTTCCCCGAATTTGTAATTTTTTCTTAAATTGAGGATAGTGTTAGAGATCATTTTGTTTAATATTCAATCGATCCTCCTGAAAATATTTTTTTAACTTAAAAGTGTTAAAATTAGAATATTATTTTTTTTAAAAAAAAAACTATTTCCATTATATTTTAACATCCTCCGCTATATTTTACATTTAGAAAACCTAGAGGATTGACCACATATAGATGTTTATTTATTGTATAAATGAAATCGATACTTTATTTGGGAAAATTAACAATACTTTAACAATATTTTTTATTCAAATGATGATTTAATTAATATTTCTAATACTTATGCAACTTAAAAAAATATATATTTATTGTTGTGCACACCTTTGTCATCAAACCCTGTAGAGCCTTGTTTAGTATTGATTATACAAAATAAATATATTAATATTGTAATATTATTCTATTACGATAAATTTACTGTTAATCTGATAAGTTCCTCATCAAACTGCTTCAGTCAATCATCGTCAAAAAAACATGCAAAATAGATACCAAGCGAAAGTATTTTGATTTTTTCCTAAGATGTGCTTAAATATTTTTAACAACAAACTAAATCTGTTAATACTTTGGGAAAAATAAAAGACTCCATTTTATCAATGTTTTCTTTAACATCTTATGACACAAAATGCAAACCACATGCATAATATACGTTTTAATGTTCACATCCAATAATAAGGTGATATGAAGAATTCATTATCTCATGGACCATGAAAATTGATCATAAATGGAAAATTTAGTAAGGAATTTAGAAACATAAATTTTACCATGATCAATCTGTTAAGGTGCAGGGTTTCAATGAAAGTATGGAGAGAGACACAAATCGGATGGGTATCAGGTATGATCTTAACTAGGAATGGGTAATTTTCTTATGATGTTGAAGCAAACGGAGAAGCGGAGACATACAGACCAATTAAGACATTGGATTTCCAGGGGGAAAATGGGTGTTATGAATTATTCAGAGCCAATGGATGGCTCCACCACGGAGGTGGACATTTACCCGTCGTTGAATGGAGAGTATTCCAAAATGTCATTTAATAAATATTATAAGTTAATAAAGATAATATATATATAGAAACATTGTTATAATTTGGCGAGAAGATGGGGGATGTAAGGGTTGAAATCATATGTGTGATCAGATGATAATATATTTTACCATTATATCTCTCCTATCCTCATTGCCAAATCATAACAGTGTTTCTAATATTTTAGATTTGTTTAATTTTAATATCTTTATTATTATCTTCAAGATTTCTAAGCTGGAGGCGATTAATAATTATTCTTAAAAATTTTAATTTAGAAATATTTAATAATTAAATTATGATATAAAACCAGATATCGTCTGTGCTTGATACCAATTTGATTATATTATTCTAAGTGATTAGACCTAAAAACTTATTTGACCTATCATTCATTCTAATTACAGCTTTTTTTTAGTAATTATTGCAACAAGTTAGCAAATTTATCCTAGCCTAATATAATTTTATCATAAAATAGTATGTGGATTTATATAATATTGCTATATTTTTAGTGGCGATTAGTTTGAGGCTAGCTACAAAGATAAGGGTTGGGGTTTATATAAGATTATGATAAATTGTATAATTTCGTCAAGCCCACTACATTTGGTAAAGTCTAAAAAACACAGGGCTTCTTAACAGCACGAAGTAGGTAATAAGTAATATTTCGTTATTACTTAACTACGCGGTTCAGATTCTTAATACGAAACTAGTGAACTACTTTAGTGGTTAACTTATTGCTATGCTCCAAATATATGGATTAAGGTTAATAATTAATTATAAGAAATACTGTATTTTTATTAGATGCCAAACCCACTACATTATTAGAATGTAAAAGTCACCTAGGGCTTCTAAGCAGGAAATAGCCTATGAGTTTATTTTTTATAGACCTATACGGTTCAGATTGAGTTCTAATACCAAACTCGTGAACATAGTTAGTGGCTAGCGTATATGCTACAAATATAAGGGTTAGAGTTTGTCCTTGATTATGAGAAATACATATTTTATTAGATATAAACACCCCCCCCCCCATTCAGTAAAATCTATCTGAAATGGACAAATTAGTTTTTATTAAATAAAATTCATTTTTACTAAACGTATAAAATTAATTATATAAATTTGATTATTTTAAACATAGATATAGATTTATAATTTTAAATAATTATATCATTTGATCCAAAAAAAAATAAGTGGGTTAATAATATATACTAGTAGATAGCCCGTCAAAAATGACGGAGAATGAGAATTTTATTCGTTTTTTTAAGAAAGATGTTACCTTTTATTTAAAAATCATATCCAATTTATATAATTTTTAAACCCCCTACCCTCCCCATTTATGTCAAGTCCAAGCAATGTCATTGAGTCCAACCCATTAGGACTAAGAGTGGAAACTATTATTTGAGTCAAAATATATTTAAATGAGCTTGTACCCAATACCAAAATTCTTTGTAAATATATTACTGGTTACATAAGACTAACATTTAACATTAAAAAATTTCAAGCCAGGTCCAAGCTCATAATATTTGGAAAAAATTTCCACGCGTTCAAGACCTTATTTATTAAAAAATTTCTCAAGCCTAGCTCAACCCATAATAATTTTGAAAATTTTTTCCTAGCCCGGCTCATAATAATTTGTATAAGATATTCCCAAGTCAGGTGCAAGCAAATATTAATCTTGAGGAATATTTTTCAAGCCCAGTCCATCACATATTAAGTTTCAAAACTATTTCCCAAACCCGGAGATAGTTAAATTTCTAAATAATTTATCAACACATGAAGGGGAAATCTCGGATTTACCAATTAGTGAGTTAACTTCTTTTATCAAAAAATTTGATAAGGGCTATCTATATCTTTTGTTAAGTACAAAAAAATGCTATCTATTTAAATTACAAAAATGCCATTCAATACTAATGAAACTTATATGCAATTTATTTATATATTTTTTAAGAAATTTGTTTTTCTTGCCATATAAATTTAGGTATTTTTTTTTAGGATTAATTAATACTCTGTGTGTCTGGTAAAAATAAGAGCAAATCCTGTATGACATTTTAATTTTTGATGGAAAAAGCGACAAAATAAATCTGGGCAGTCGTCTGCAGAAGAAAAAATTAATGTATAATATCATCCCATTTAGGGTTGTAGGTGAAAGTAATGAATAATGACGGATTACCAAAGCAGTGTACAACACCCATTGCATCCTGATAAAGCTGAGGAGAAGAACGCGAAATGATATTTCTGCCAAAGTGTCAATTTTGGTATACCCCTCTAAAATAGAATCATGAACGACATTGTCAACTCAACCATAAAACGGTCGTAAGTATTGTTATAAAGGCCATGACAAAACTACCGCATATTTTCCCATTAATAATGTTAATGAAATTGGCTGCACTACACATTCACGTTTAAACATCTCTCTAAATATTCATGAAAGTTCCTCATGGAATCGGATAAAGTATTATTTATAATAACTCCTAATGAGGTGAATGATAGTGGAATTAAATGCTTATATTTGTTAAAAATTAGGCAGAGGTGGCATAGGGATTGTGGTAGTGGTGATAGAAATATCATTTGGAGGCAACTGGGTGTATAAAATAAACATATAGATATAAAACATTAGATAAAAAACAAAATAAACCTCCAGAGGAGTTCACAGTGCCTTATTATCTTGGCCACCAGTAACTCTAGAACGGGTAAGGCGTTTGTTGAATCGCCATTTTTTCCTTTGCTTATCTTTAATAATAGATTCATCATGTTTGGTAGCAATGTGAGGGATTAGGGTTAGCCTAGACAAATAAAGAAATCAGGCAAAAATATAAATATACTATTGTTGAAATTAAACAAACATTAAAATAATGTAAAACCGGTAGAAGGGTCAATATTAGATGCATATTTCTAATAAGTTGGAGGGCTATCATCAAATAAAATTTTTGGGGGACTTATCAAGTCTATTATATTATAAAAGTTAAAAAATAACATGATAAATGTAATGTTATTAAGATAAAGGTTAATTAATTGTAAGGTAATTAAAAAATTAGATTAAAAAAGGGGGGAAAAAGAAGGTATAAATTATTATATTATATTATATAAATTAAAGGTGATAAGGTTTTGAGATATTATGGTTAATAGATAATAGAGATAGAAAGAAAAGAATGAGATAATAAAATTTAGTGATAAATAAAAATGTTTATTTTTGTTAAAAAATAGGTGGAGGTGGCATAGGGATTGTGATAGTGGTGATAGAAATATCATTTGGAGAACTGGGTGAAAATAAAATAAACATAGATATAAAACATAAGATAAAAAAAAACCTCCAGATGAATTCATTTCAAGCGTAGTTCTTTATTATTTTGTCTACCAGTAACTCTAGAACGGGTAAGGCGTTTGTTTATTCGTCATTATTTTCTTTGTTTATCTTTAATAATAGAATCATCATGTTTTGTAGCAATGTGAGGGAATAAGGTTTTATTTTGAGTTGTTAGTAGATTTTGTAGGGCCTCGCTATCCCTAGTGCGTTTCTTTTTTTGATTGATCTGCCATCTTTTTCTTTTATTAATGAAGGATAAATCACCACCTGTACAATCATTAACTGAGGTTAGGACATGGCTTGTTATTTAAAATAGAAACAAAGAATAATATAAAGAATATAAATGCAATGAACATGATCTAAAATAAAAACAAAAGAATAAATAAAAAATAGAGTCAATATTAGGTTAACCTCTTTAGAAATAGTGGGAATACAATCATTAACTGAGGTTAGGACATGGCTTGTTATCTAAAATAGAAACAAAAGAATAAATAAAAAAAATAAATGCATTGAACTTGATGAGGAGTCAATATACCACCTGTACAATCATTAAATATGGGTAAGACAGGGCTTGTTATCTAAAATAAAAACAAAGAATAATATAAAGAATATAAATGCAATGAACATGATCTAAAATAAAAACAAAAGAATAAATAAAAAATAGAGTCAATATTAGGTTAACCTCTCTAGAAATAGTGGGAATATCATCCATCATAAGCTAAAAATAGATATGATCATAAAAAATGAACAAATAAATTAACTTCTTCTGATTTCAGGAATTCAAATAAAATGATAATCTCTAAAAATTGGTATCTGGCACTCCGATTTCAGTCAAGGAAAATGATAGTCTCATAAAAAATCAACAAATAAATTACTTCTTCTGATTTCAGAATTTGGTATGAACATCTGTTTAAAAAAATATAACAAATAAATAAATAAATACGTACCGATGACATGACGTAGCGATGACATGACGTAGCGATGACATGACGTCACGATGACGTAGTGAGGACATCAGAAAATTATAATATAGATTTAGATTTACTAGTCTCATAAGAAAAAGTGAGATTTATAAATAAGCGAATTCGGTTTTGTTTTTGAGTAAAATTTTGATTAATATTGCGCTTCGAATCTATCATATTTTAAATTAGATTTTTGGCTAAATGATTTTAATAATTGAAAGATCAACTGCAAATGAACGGTTAATTTTTGGCCGTTAAAGTGCCTTCAAAACATTATTCATATCAGATCATTTATTATTCCAAACATATTCTTCTCTTGGGAATAATAGGCATGACCAACAATTTAGAGAATAATAAAATTCACATCCAGTGAGCCACTCATATTTTCCATATTATTTATAGAAAAATAATGCAAGTTTTTATTACTTTTTTTAAATTTGGTAAAATTGGTTTTGGTCTTACTTCTTCAATAATCAATTTATTACATTAAAATTTGGGCTAATTTTTAAATATATGTTTGCAATTATTAGACATTTCAAATTAATCTATAAATGAATAAAATTTTTTTTAAAAAAAGGAAGATATAAAAATATTTCATAAAAAATATTTTTCTTTTATTTATTCCAAAGCTTAAAATTACATAATACATTCGCAAAATTTTTTCTTTATTTTTTTAAAAAAAGATATTTTATATTTGTTTATCGAATATTTTTATTTTTTAAAGTAATAAAATAATTATAACAAAATATAATGGTTTGAGCATAATTTTAACTTTTATTTATTTTATAAAATAATAAATATTAAATCTGTTACCCACATATACATTTTTTTTAACTTAGTATAAATAATATTATTGGTGAAATATATTATTTTTACTATGTTAAAAATGTACTATTTTACATTATTTTAACGTAGTAAAAATAATATAAATTTGTCTAAGGTTATATAAATCATATTCATTTTTTCCTAACTAAGTCAGATTAGTATTAATTTTTTTAATATAGTATAAAGATTATAATAATTATCTATATTATAATTTTCCGATGTCCTCACTAAGTCATCGCTACGTCATGTCATCGCTACGTCATGTCATCGCTACGTCATGTCATCGCTACGTCATGTCATCGCTACGTCATGTCATCGCTACGTCATGTCATCGCTACGTCATGTCATCGGTACGTACTTATTTTTATTTTTTTATTGATTTTATTTTATTTTTTTTATAGAAAATATTTTTAGACATGAAGCCCAATAAAATACAACTCAAAATAAAGTTAGCCTTATATATATATATTTTTTTATACTCTTTTATATTATAGAATACATCTATTTTAGCTTCTGATAATGTCCCAACTATTTCTAGGGAGTTGAACCTAATATTGACTCCTCTTCAGGTTCATTGCATTTATATTCTTTATATTATTCTTTGTTTTTATTTTAGATAACAAGCCCTGTCTTACCCATATTTAATGATTGTACAGGTGGTATATTGACTCCTCATCAAGTTCAATGCATTTATTTTTTTTATTTATTCTTTTGTTTCTATTTTAGATAACAAGCCATGTCCTAACCTCAGTTAATGATTGTACAGGTGGTGATTCCGTCATTAATAAAAGAAAAAGATGGCAGATCAATCAAAAAAAGAAACGCACTAGGGATAGCGAGGACCTACAAAATAGAACATTCTCTTATTTATCAAGTATAATTTTTCTCAAAATTATATTGGGATTTTTTAATGTTAAATGTTAGTCTTATGTTATTATTTTTATAAAGTAATATATTTTACCTGTAGAATAATTGGTAAATTAGAGATTTCCTCTTCATTAATTATAAATTTTGGGCTTGGTTTCAAAATTATTAGGGAAGGTGGGTTAGAGAAATTCTTTTTAAATATTAAGATCTTGGATGCTTTTTTCTTGAACCTATATTGGGATTTTTTAATGTTAAATGTTAGTCTTGGATGCTTGGATATTTTTTCCATGTTAAATGTTAGTCTTATGTTATTCTTTTTATAAAGTAATATATTTTACCTGTTGACTACAGGGCCGTAGCCAGGAATTTTCACTTAGGGGGGCCAAGTGCCTACTTGGGGGGGGGCACTATTTTTTAAAATCAAACAAATAATTACGCATTCATATAAATTTTTTCCTATTTTTATTAAAAATTTAATAACAAAATAATACTATAATATGAATATACAAAAAAAAATAATACTATAATATGCATATACAAAACAAAATATTACTATAATAGAATACGGCGATTTTTATTTTTAAATTTTAATATAAATGAACTAAAAGATAAATTCTGCGTTATTCTTTTTTCATACGCCATAAATACTAAATTTTGTTTACGTTTATCCTTCATAGACTCTCTACTGCTCGATAAAACTCTCTTTAATGTAGAGAACGAGGCCTCACAAGAAGCCGTTGATATCCCAATGATTATCGCTGCTGAGTAGCATTTATATAATTCTTTAAATGCATGATTATATTTTTTTTTATACATAATATGTAAGATGTTTTATTATTAAATGTTCGTCTTGGATGCTTGGATATTTTTTCCAGATATTGTAGGGTAGAACCTATATTAGGATTTTTTAATGTTAAATGTTAGTCTTATGTTATAAATTTAATATCTCTGGGCTTGATTTCAAAATTATTAGGGAAGGTGGGCTTGAGATATTCTTTTTAAATATTAATATCTTGGATGCTTGGATATTTTATCCAGATATTGTAGGCTTGAACCTATATTAGGATTTTTTAATGTTAAATGTTAGTCTTATGTTATAAATTTAATATCTCTGGGCTTGATTTCAAAATTATTAGGGAAGGTGGGTTGGGCTTGAGACTCCTCTTTTTAAATATTAAGATCTTGGATGCTTGGATATTTTATCCAGATATTGTAGGCTTGAACCTATATTGGGATTTTTTAATGTTAAAGGTTAGTCTTGGATGCTTAGGTTTGATTTTTATCCAGATATTGTAGGCTTGAACCTATATTGGGATTTTTTAATGTTAAAGGTTAGTCTTGGATGCTTAGATATTTTTTCCAGATATTGTAGGCTTGAACCTATATTGGGATTTTTTAATGTTAAATGTTAGTCTTATTTAATATCTCTGGGCTTGGTTTCAAAATTATTAGGGAAGGTGGTTTAGAGAAATTCTTTTTAAATATTAAGATCTTGGATGCTTTTTTCTTGAACCTATATTGGGATTTTATAAAGTTAAATGTTAGTCTTGGATGCTAGGATATTTTTTCCATGTTAAATGTTAGTCTTATGTTATTCTTTTTATAAAGTAATATATTTTACCTGTTGACTAATTGGTAAATCAGATATTTCCTCTTCATTAATTATAAATTTAATATCTCTGGGCTTGATTTTAAAATTATTATGGAAGGTGGGCTTGAGAAAATCTTTTTAAATATTAAGATCTTGGATGCTTGGATATTTTATCCAGTTTAACCTATATTGGGATTTTTATTATTAAATGTTCGTCTTGGATGCTTGGATATTTTTTCCAGATATTGTAGGGTAGAACCTATATTAGGATTTTTTAATGTTAAATGTTAGTCTTATGTTATAAATTTAATATCTCTGGGCTTGATTTCAAAATTATTAGGGAAGGTGGGCTTGAGATATTCTTTTTAAATATTAATATCTTGGATGCTTGGATATTTTATCCAGATATTGTAGGCTTGAACCTATATTGGGATTTTTTAATGTTAAAGGTTAGTCTTGGATGCTTAGATATTTTTTCCAGATATTGTAGGCTTGAACCTATATTGGGATTTTTTAATGTTAAATGTTAGTCTTATTTAATATCTCTGGGCTTGGTTTCAAAATTATTAGGGAAGGTGGTTTAGAGAAATTCTTTTTAAATATTAAGATCTTGGATGCTTTTTTCTTGAACCTATATTGGGATTTTATAAAGTTAAATGTTAGTCTTGGATGCTAGGATATTTTTTCCATGTTAAATGTTAGTCTTATGTTATTCTTTTTATAAAGTAATATATTTTACCTGTTGACTAATTGGTAAATCAGATATTTCCTCTTCATTAATTATAAATTTAATATCTCTGGGCTTGATTTCAAAATTATTAGGGAAGGTGGGCTGAGAAAATCTTTTTAAATATTAAGATCTTGGATGCTTGGATATTTTTCAGTTTAACCTATATTGGGATTTTTATTATTAATATCTCTGGGCTTGATTTCAAAATTATTAGGGTAAGTGGGCTTGAGAAAATCTTTTTAAATATTAAGATCTTGGATGCATGGATCATTACATTTATCATGTTATTTTTTAACTTTTAGAATATCATAATAGACTTGATTAGTCCCCCAAAAATTTTATTTGATGATAGCCCTCCAACTTATTAGAAATATGCATCTAATATTGACCCTTCTACCGGTTTTACATTATTTTAATGTTTGTTTAATTTCAACAATAGTATATTTATATTTTTGCCAGATTTCTTTATTTGTCTAGGCTAACTCTAATCCCTCACATTGCTACCAAACATGATGAATCTTTTATTAAAGATAAGCAAAGGAAAAAAATGGCGATTCAACAACCGCCTTACCCGTTCTAGAGTTACTGGTGGCCAAGATAATAAGGCACTGTGAACTCCTCTGGAGGTTTATTTTGTTTTTTTATCTAATGTTTTATATCTATATGTTTATTTTATACACCCAGTTGCCTCCAAATGATATTTCTATCACCACTACCACAATCCCTATGCCACCTCTGCCTAATTTTTAACAAATAAAAGCATTTAATTCCACTATCATTTACCTCATTAGGAGTTATTATAAATAATACTTTATCCGATTCCCTGAGGAACTTTCATGAATATTTAGAGAGATGTTCAAACGTGAATGTGTAGTGCGGCCAATTTCATTAACATTATTAATGGGAAAATAT